AGCCTTTAACTCAGTGGACCGCTTACCCTGATTATGTGTCCCATGAAGCAGTCAGCTGTCCATACACAGCAGATATGTATGTTCAGCCTATGTGTCCCAGTTACACACTGGTTGGACCTTCATCTGTTCTGACTTACACTTCTCAACCACTGATCACCAATTTTGCAGTAAGTCAAAAATACCTAGGTATAAATGACAGCAAATTCCCCACCTTCTAGCAAGAGCCATGGGGAATGCCGGATGTAATTCTTATAATTTAATTATTATAATGTTGTGTGTCTTTGTATCCATACTAAATAGTTGTTCTAGCACTGGCCCTGTCTGCACTGTGCTGGACATTAGTATGGTTTGAGCAAGACAAAAAGTTGTGTTTTCACTGAGATCAAGCATACTTTGCTGCCATTTCCCTAGCTTTCTGCACTCCAAATTTTCTGTGTTATTAACACATACACTGTTCTTTGCTGGTGTCCTGGGAAATGAGTCATCTCTTATCAAGTCAGCAGCAGGGCTGCCATTGCCCTGAGTTTGTTCAAGCCTATGAACAGTTATTTACAGTAGGAGAATACTGTTTGCAATTCAAGGATAATAATGATGAATCTTACATTTACTGTTGTCATCACTTTCAACTTTAGGAGCTCGGATTTGGAATACCTGAGGAAGAAGAATTAAAGTAGTTCACTGAGTGAATGCACATTATAGTCAATAAATGCTGTTGTCTGGACAAGTACTTAGGACACAGTCCCACCAGAGATCTAAGCAGTATCTAGGGGATTCTTCACTATTTAATTCCAAACTTTAAAAAAAAAAGAAAAAGTAAATGAGATTCCAGGAAACTCATCCACCAGGTGAAGCAGGAAGAATGACTTGGCAATGAATTTCTCAAAAATTGCTGTTTAAAGATGGAAGAGGAAGGCCAAAATAACACGTCAAAGCCAAATATTTGGTTTCAGGCTGAACAAAATCTGTTTGGCTGACCCAAGATGATTTGTTCTTCCTTAGAGGAGAAGAGCAGAGAATTCTGTTTCATTTGAAATCAAGCAGCTTATTTTCCTTTTAATGTTTCAGTTTAGCTGCTGAAACTGACACACCAAATCAGCAAAGGCCTATGCCTGTGGCCTGTGGCCTTCACTGGGGAGGAAGGGCTGTTGTTTCAAATGTGACTCTGCCTTGGCTGACAGGGTCTGGTCAGGATGCACTGTTGCAGAGGCCAGAATAAGCTGCCTTCAGCCTTGTGGCAGCAAAGTTGTGCCTATACATTCAGCTCGCAAGAGAGGCTATCAAAGAAGGCAGTTTTCAGCACAGGATGTAACTGTCTCATGGGCTTACCGTGAGGGTGGGAGTGGGAACAGAAAGCTAGAGGGAACTTGACATGAGTGTAAGCTACTGGCAGCAAGCACCTGGGACACCCACAGCCACCACTCTCATGGGAGCCAGCGTGGGAAAACTGTCACAGTCAGTATAATGCTTTACCCAGAGAGACAGGAAAAGGGATGTTAAAAGTGAGACTGAGCATCCTTAGTCTGTTGTTTTGTGTCCTCCCTCCACCTCACCTGGCCAATTGTTTTACTTTGTTTAATTTTTTTCTATTTTAACAGCCCCGAAGCACCACCCCTGCTGTAGTGCCTCAGCTTGAGGTGACGGATCAGCAGCCACCTCTCACATACTTCCCGTGGGCACAGCCCCTCTCTGCACTGCCAGCCTCCACTTTGCAGTACCAGCCAGCTTCTTCCACACTTTCCGGGCCGCAGTTTGTGCCCTTGCCAATCTCCATTCCTGAACCAGCCCCCCAGGAGCTGGAGGATGCCAGACGAGTCATCGGCACACTGCCCATTGAGAAGCTGCTTCTAGAAGATGAAGACAATGATACGTATGTTTTAAACCATGCTCTCTCTGTTGAAGGGCTTTAAGTTGCACAGCTGGGGCCTGATCCTCACCTACTCAATACTCCACCTCGCACCACAGTGAGTTTTGAGTACAGAGGAAAGGTAGGCTGGGGGGTGGGAACTTTACTTATGATTTTGGTGTCCACCTCAAGCACACCATGACTTGTGTGTTGTGTGAAACTTGCTTTGTCCTGGGGCCCAGCACAAGATTTCTCTGCTGTTAGAGTTCCTGCTACCTCTCCCAGGCAGGCTTTTGATACTGCATTGTTCTTGTGCTCAGCATCAGTACGAGGTGACTTTCATTCTCAGACCCAAGGCATGGTCTCCAATTGACATACTATAGTGTAGCCATGGCCAACTGTAGCATTTGGTGAGGGTACACTTGCCTCTAAACATTGACAAGACCTAGTTCAATAGGACTGCTTTCCAGAGCTCAGTGTAAATGCCTTGTGTGTGTGTGTCTTTGCCCTGTCCATGGAGGAACCTCTATCTGATCTAGGTCACTAGAAAACATTCTTGGGGCCTAAATTGACATTTTTCTTTCCTAAATTGAACTGCTCCTTTGGAAAGTAGGAAAATGTAAAGCGTAGTTTTGTTCTACTGGTACAGGTAGATGCATTAGTCTGAAGACAAAATGTCAATACAGCTGAACTAAACACCAGTGCAGTCAGACATCTCTATTTACAGAGCAACACAAAGTAGCCTAAATGAAATGTTTGAGTTCACACAAAGGTGTAACTTGAAGATCTCACCTTGTCTGCCATTGGAAGACAGCCATGTAGGTGTGGGACGGTGGGTTGGAATCATGGTCTTTCAGCAGCAGAATGTTTTTGGACTCTAAAATATCCATCTTTGAGATGGGGCGGCTGACTTTGTGGCTGGCTGGTAATGCTGCATGTTCTACCAATGGACAGATCCTGGTCCCACTGAAGTCACCGGGAGTTTTGCCTGAGTCAGGATTGCAAGACATGGCCCTATATCAGGAGATCATTGAGAAGACAGGGTCTTCCAAAATCTGGACTTCAGTCTAAGAAGGAATTCATGGCATTACTATTAGTCGGCAATACTTTCGTTTGTTCTTTAGCATTTGAGTGTAAAGTCGGTGATGTCGTGCTGAGCCAGGGAACCTTAGTGACTTCTCTTATGCCTTACTGCTATGGAAAGTTTCTCTGTGCTGTAGTCTCCCAGGGCCAAGGTGCACACATTTTCTTTATAGCTTTCTGTTTTTCTTTCCTGCAGAATGAGTAGCTTTACTTTTTCCTCTGATGCAACTGTAAATGTTGTTGTTGATGTTCAGGAGTGCCACGCCACAGGCAAATATATTTGCAGGACATATATCCCCTTCTAACTCTGTTTATTGTTTTCTTAATCAACAAGGGACTCTTGGCTGGTGAACACAATTTCTCTGGGTTTTTCTGCTTTCTAAAGCCCAGGATCCTTAGGTGATTTTAGTATTTGTGAGGCTAACTGCAAAATAATTTATTGCACTGTTTATTACCTGGTGTCCAGCACTCCAGTTGCCACCCAGGCAATATTTCAAGTGACCTTACAGTTTATGCCTGAGTGAGGTTTGCAAGCTCAGGTTGAAAGTCTTGAGGACTTTCAAAGCATATTTCGTTATTTAATGTTGACAAATCTGGAAGACATAAGCAATAGATCATGTAAGTGATCATAAAGTTGTTTGAAAATAGCAGTAGTTCAGGTGCATTGAAATTAGTGGCTTACATTTGCAGAAAAACCCAGCAAAGAAATTAATTAGAAGGAGCTTAGTTCACCACTGCTTACTCCAGTTTTATAAGTACAAAGACAATCAGTAGGTAAAACTGGGATAATGCAGTTGTGAATCAAGCCTGTGGTTGCTAAGATTGCTTTTAAATTTATGTCACTCCAATGTATGTAAATTCTGTGTGTGAATATAAAACAATGATGAACTGTTTCAGAATTTCTTTCTGGGTTGTTCTGGTTAGAAAAAGAAAAAAATCTTTTTCAATAAAGATCTACAGTAACTTTCATATGCCTAGAGTGTTTTATTTCCTATCCAAAAGGGTAACACAGCATTGGTGTAGCAAACAATTAGTTCAATAACATATGTACAGGCTAGAACCACAGATCAGCTGTTAGACTTTCTGCTAATTTTGCACATTAATGCAGACTAAGGAGAAACTCCATGATCCAAATATGGCCAGGAGGCACTGTTTACTCAGCAGTCCTTACTCACAGAAGCACTCCCGCAGTTCAGATGTTAGTTCAATCACTGTTATCCTCTATTGGCATCCCTGGGGATGTGTGGGTGTGCAGCCACAGCTAATGCTGAGCTTGACTGAAAATCAGACTAGCCATAAAGTTGCATTTCTACTTCCTGAAATTGCAAGGTGTGGCTCTGGGGTACAAAATTACCTGAGGAAAGAAACCTGCCTACCACCTTCTGACTACAAAGTATCAAATGTTTCTGTGTGGAGTGAAACAAAGCCAGGGGCTGGTGACTGCCTGTTGGATGGCGGTCTCCTGTGCAAAGGGGAATTGCAAAGCTACCTGTGCATGACCAGCGCCCTTGCAAATAGGACCTGGGGGAATGCAAGCAATGAGTAGCTCTGTGTAATTCTCTCCAGCTCCAGCCATAAAGCCAGGCAACCAAAGTGAAGTAGTGAAGTATTTTCCCCATTGCTAAGGGCCATGTCACCAGCAAGTCCAAAACTGCTATGCGTTGTGACAAATCTCTGTCTTATGCACAAGATAAAGGCTCGGTCCCACTCACAAGTAGTTTTGATAAAGAACTAGAGCTTAACAGGCTGTTTACAAATACACCATTTAGAAGAGGCTGTTTGTTACCCTGGATGGTGAGATATCACCAATGCATACAAGGCCGTATCACCCAAACAAGTGGTACATACATACGATATGGTACGCAGGGCCCCAACACTAAGCTTTGTGGAGGACTTAGATACCTCCCAGCACAAGGGCGAAACTCATCTGAAAGAAAGTGCTGAAGTGGAAAGGAGACAGCATGTCAAAACTCAGGAGTGCTGAGGGCTCCTGAACACTGCAGTTATTTTGAGGTAGGAAGCCCTTTCCATGGGTGTGGGTGCGTTCAATGTCAAGCCCTTGGGGGCTTATGGCATGGTTTTGTGGAACACTGGGTATAAAACCCTCAAAGTGGCTATGCCACCCTGTAAAACTGTTTGCTCCCAGGGTGGTTCGTGGCCAAGCAGTGATCAGTGTCTTTATTTACTGTCTTAGAATTCTACATATTTATGCAGCTAAAGGTATGAGGGCGTATACATTGGCAGCTGCAGAGCGCATGAAATTGCTGCGACGACTTGATGCCAAGGAACACAGAGGAAAGGTAATATGGACCACTTTCTTCTGCAAACAGCTGTGTTTGGGATGGGCATGGGCTTTGCATGACTGGGAGCAACTGATGCCCTGAAAAATCCAGCTCTGTCTCTCTGTTACGGCAAAGAAAGGCTCAGGCATTGATATGCCTTGCTGAGGTGCCTCTGGCAGGATCCTAAAATTAGGTGGGATGAGAATGAGCTTTTTCTCTTTTCAGCCCATGGCTCATAGAGTGAACTAAGACAACACTGGTCCAATAAATATGCGTATGTTGGCAGCAGTCTCTGAGGCCAAAGGTTTTATGAACAGCAGATTTATGCTAGGAGTGCTGCACCTGATGTAAACAGCGTTTCAAAAATGCTGGACTTGGGTTGTCGTCCAAATCAGGGCCAAAGAACACTACAGGTTGTTCAGCAGGAGCTGGGAAATGCCCCCCATCTCATGATGCTGTGGGTCCTAATATGTGGGATTCAAAATCTGCCTGTGAGCTGGCTTTAGTTTATGCACCACGATCCTTGGGATTCTAGATGCCATTCAGCCCAGACACCCTTTCCCTGTTGCTTGTTTTATGATAGCATCTGCTTCTAGACTCTCACATTTTATCTGCTGTACTGCTATTTTCAGACTCCTCTGCTGGTGGCTGTCACTGCCAGGCAGCCAGCTATTGTCCATGATTTGATCCAGACAGGAGCAGATGTCAATGCTGTAGACAACAAAGGGCAGTCAGCTTTGCATCTTGCCGCAACATATGGGTATGCCCAAGTACTTCAGGTAGGAAAAGCTTTTATGGTTTTAATTGCTAGCAGTATAAACCTACAATAAAAATCTCAATATTAGTGTCTTTAAAGATCTGCCTCAGAAGGCAAGATGTCAGTAAGCAATGAAGACTGACCAAAGTCTCCTTTTCCACTGTGTTAGAAATTTACTTCCCAGATTATTCCTGTTTTAGGACTATACTTGCAGCTAACATCAGCCGCCTGTTACAGAGGAAATGGCTTTAGCGTATCTGTGGGGGAAAATAAATTCTTTCTGGAGATCATAGCTCTAAATCTGCTGATGGCAGGCTAGGCAGAGGGGGCTTGCTCGAGCCCCCAGTGTTGTAGTGATGCCTGCATTGGAGGGGGTTCCCTAGAGGCTGCAGGCAGCTGTGGGGTGTGAGGAGAGGGAGCAATAATACCATTGTGAAACCCCTTCCCTGATGACAGTGTCATCCAGATGGGAGCAACAAATTGTGTCCAGACTCAAGCCAGCTGAGGAGCAAGCAGATGTGACCCTGCAGACAGAGCCAGCACAGGCACAGCCTTCAAAATGAGACACATTTTTCAGATTTTATGCAAAACCAAGATCCATCGAAAAGATTTTCCAGTGCGTGAGAGAAACTAGACGCTCCTGTATAGCCAGAATCTACTAGAGTTTTCATGACATATATGACCAGATCTTTGCTTCCCTATTGCTTCACACATCTTGCTGTAGACGGGGTCTACGTCTAAGTTATGGGCCAGCCAGGCTCTGACAGCCCTGAAGAGCAAATTAGCAAGAGGCACTGTGGGAATTTTTGGATGGCATTGCATAGCAGAGATAAGCATACTGAAACATGTCTCTTAAATGCTTAGCTATTGGCCATAAAATGGAATTAAAAAAACACGCCTTCCTTGATTCATGTCACAACTGAATATAGGCAGCTTCAATGTAGAGTTTCATTGCAGCAGCATGGCTGCTGATGAGTTTACCTGAGGGCAGGTGACAGGGTCTTCTGAGACTGAGGGATGTGTCAGTCGAAGTGCCAGGGGGTACCTGGCATGCTGGTAGTCCATCTCCAGTGTTCATTAGCTCTGCCTTGCACACGCCCTGGGTTAAGTCATGAGCAGGCAGTTAATGTAAAACTTTGCGAGTTCTTTGGAAAACAGGTGTTTCATTCAGTGGGGAAGAGTGTTTTACATCCAGATAATTCCAACAAAGCCTCCCAGAGTGCCTTGTGGTGGTTTGTGTTTTGTTTGTTTTGTTCTGTTTTGTGGGTTTTTTTCCCTTGACATAAAAAGGGAAAATGTACACAGGCTTGCTTCTTGGTACGGTCAAAGCCATGAAAAGATTTAAGGTTTGTTTGTTTGTTTTAAATTTTTTTTCTAATGGATTAAATATCTAATCTCTAATCATCAGGCAGCTCAGAGCTACTTGTCAATATTTGATCTGTATATATTATTGTTATGAAATGAGAGCACAAGCCCTAACTGTTCTGGGTAATCTTTCAGCAGGATTCTGTCCTGTGCCTTGTCTAACTTGACAAGGTTCTGGGTGAGTCACTGCACTGCAAAAATTCTCAGCCAAGCTGTAATGTGAACAACTTGCTTTATTCAATCAAGAGCAAAAGATGCATTATCTGTAATAGTATAGACTAGGAACTACTTGGCTGCATCACATCAAATCTATCATTTTCTTAAGTTTAAGAGATTTAAAGTTTTTACTCTCTGCTAAATCCAAGCAAGGCTCACCTCCAGACCACTATTTCATGCCATTTATAGGCTCTGCATCCTCATTGCTGCAGCCATTGCAACAAGCTGTGGTTTTAACCTGTCACGCTGCTGCACATCTGCTGCACATCTGCTGCACATTAAAAAGAAAAAGTAAATAAATCCAGTCTAAGAATTTCCAGTGTCAGCAAACTTTTAGGTAATAAAGTTTGGCTGTATGTTTCAAGGAGAGATTTTCATTTATCTTTGCCAAGAATCTCAGAATAAATATGAATTGGTGTTATTGGAGCCTTTGGTTAAACCAGGGTGAAAGCGAGGGGGCTAGCACTCTTGACCTGGGGGCAGTGACTTAGTTTTACTATTCTGAACTGAGAATCTAACAAGATACTATACTTAGGCAGGGTTTAGAAAGGTAGGGAACATGATCATCTTGTGTAACCCTGAATGTCCCTGGTCAGTACTGAAATCTAGTGCCAAATAAGGGCTTAGTTTGTAGTTGAATGATAATTATCCAATTGTTAGTTTGTTTTTAAATTTTGTTAGTTTTGACTGATTTTGGCTTGGACAGTATTCTGCTGAAATAAAATTTTCAATTTCTCTGTTGCTTCTAGGTTATACTGTCACTAGGTTTTCCTCTTGATTTAGAAATGAAGGATTTTGAAGGTAAAACCCTTTGTACAAGTATTTTATAGTGGTATTAAAAAAAATGAAAAACTGTATTGGCTATTTCATTGACTGCTGCTTATTTGTTATTTGCTGCTATGCCAAGAGGCCAGAGCGGCCTCAGAAACTGCCTGGGGGAGAGTCGCTGTGAGCTCAAATGCCACAGAAGTCAATGGTGCTGATGATTCAGCAGTGATTCAATGCACAAATGGAACTGAGCACATGCTGGAGTGCCCCATAAAGTGTCTATACAGCCAATATGGTGCCTTCAAAACTAGAGGAGGGCTTGTGCTTTCACAACACATGTGCAGAGATGCATATGCTCTCCCTGCCAGCCCTCGCTTCCTCTCTGTAAATCAATGTCTTCGTTGGGACTGTCGTTATCTTCCTCCTGTACTTGGTTTTCCAGGCCATACCCCACTGCACTGTGCTGTTCTGGCCCACAACACCCTGCTCCGGGAGGGTTGCCAGACATTGACAGAGGAGCAGCAGAAAGATCTTCAGCACCAGAGTGAAGAGCTGGAGTCCTGTATCCACCTCCTGGTGCAGACAGGAGCCTCCATCTACAGCCGGGTAAGGGATCAGCTCAGTTATCTGTATGCTGTTTATTTGTATGGACAACCCCACCCCACCCCCCCACCCCCCCCGCCTGATGCTTGTGCTGTGCTCAAACTATAGAATTGGAGAAGGAATGAACTGCTAACAGAAGGACCAAGCCTGTTCCCCTTTCAAGTGACTAGTTGCAGAGTTAGTTTCTGCCTTCTGGAGTTACTTTCTTGCAGCCTGAAGCAAACACTGGACAGCAAAAGGGCCACTGAAGGGAAAGAGGTGCTCCACATTAGCTGCAGAACTGGCCTGGACTTTTCTCTGATGGGTTTATATAATATCTGCAGGTTGTTCTGCAGAACATTTCTTATTTTGTTTTGTTTTTCTGTTTTTAAATAGGATGTGAAAAGCAACAAGACAGTTCTTCATTATACAGTCCAGGATGGGAACATCTCCCTGCTCAGATACTTCTTGGAGCTGAATGCTTTCAAGTCCAAGGACTTTGTCAACAACAAGGTGAGTCAGGCCATGCACGGACAGGATTTGTGTGCACATCCACAGGCAGAGGAGATGCCGAGAGCAGTGCGAGTGCTGTGCTGCGGTGGGAGGCTGCATGCAGACAGAGGTGTTAGGAGATCTGTGGGATCTGAACTTTTTTTTTTCCTTAACCTGAAAGTGCATTTTCCAGTAAATAGACACTTCACCTGGAAAGCAGTGCCTGGCTTGAACTCTGAGTTGTGTCATGAAACACAGACCCCTCTCCCAGCAGGTAGAAGCTGACAGAATGAGAGAGTGAGATAGCCAGGGAAGAGGAAGGACATGGGAAGTGGTTACCTGAGGAAGAACATGAATTTTATTACATTAGGCTGAAGATTGAGAAAACAGATCTGCAATGATGCAATGGTTTGCTGTTGGCAGCAACGTAATACTGAAAGACAGCAGTTCAGGAAAGCCATGTGTCAAGTAATCCTTCCCGTCAAACATGCCGTCCATAGGAAGGACAAAGCTCCTATTTCAGTTAAGGGAGATGGTGACTCTTTCTGCCTTAACTGTTATTTGCAAGTCTTCTGGCTCTGTTTGTGCCTGGGCACAAACTGGTTATTGTGATGACTGCCTGCAAGTTTGAGCCTGGAGAATCAAAATATTCACAGGGCCCTCCAAGTCCTAACAGCTGCCAGGAGCAATAACAGAAGACAAACGCATGCTACAGGCAGTGAACCAGCGGCTGACATTGCCAGGCAGGTGAAGCATGCGGAAACCAGCTCTTTGAAGTGAGGCAGCATCCTTGCTGAGCATGCTGGAACCTACGCACTGTGGCAAGTAGACCACCTCTGACTCTGGGGGCTCAAGACCCTGCTTTAGGCACTCTATGCAACCCTGCTTCCTGAGCTGAAGTTTTGCTAACATTGGTTCCTCAGTGCAGGGTTTCTAGAGGCACAGCCATTCCTAGGTTGTATAAAGCAAGCTAGAAAACTTCCCAGTGCTGCTGTTGTGTCACCCATCCCCCTTCTGCCCCATACTTCACCTCTGAGCAGATACCAAGCAGTGACACTATCTTGCAGATATATCAGCTTCACCCATCCTCCTAAGCAAAAATCCTGACATTCCTGTGCCTTAGCTGAGACATCACTCTGTACCATCAGCCAGAGTTTTGGCTCTTGACTAGCTGTCCCCTCTCAGCAGGACTAAGTGGGTGATTCTGGGTCCTTCTGCAGAAGGGTACCCTTGAGCAGCAAAGGACAGAGGGAGGGGAGGACAAGGTTAGGGCTCCCTGTTTTGAGAGGGTCAGTGCATTAGCTTTTCATTTCAGCATTTCAGTCTTTTAGCCTTGCTTGTATTCCCCAGAGCATGCTTGTGTCCATCAGAAAGGAATTGAACGTTTTCTATCAATCAACTCAGTTGCTCACTTGGGAAGCAGATACTGGACAGTTTCACGGGGTTTTTCCCCTACAGGTTTCTGTTGTATTGGAGGAAATGTGTTTTGCTTTGTGTATGTGGGTAACAACACTGAGTTTCTGTCTTTCTGTACAGTGAAGGGCCTTGCACTGCCTTTTCATTACATTCTTTCTGTAACTTTTAAGACCCATTAGGCAGGTGCTAGCTTGTCCGTGGGAGTCTGCCGTTGTCTCTTGATCACAATCCTGTGAGAGCTTCCTACTGTGATAGGATCACTTGGAGTCTTCAGTCTTGTTAGTGAGCTGTCTGGGACAGTGACAAATATGATGGCAAGGTTGTCTGATACCCTTCCCAGCTTTTTAGTTCTTCCAAGTGTGAAGAAGACAAAAAGATGGGTATGCTGGAGTTCACGTTTTGGCTTCCCTGGCTCACCCACTGCTTACTGTGGTTGTTTCATTCCAAATCCATTTCCTTGTGGATTTCACAATGAGAAAAGCATTGAAGCCTTTGCGGTATCTTTCACCTGAAGGATTCCTAGAGCCCACATTTCGGTGCTCTGGACCATTGTCTCCACAAGCCCTACTAAAGTCAATGGGAGGCTTCAAGATCAGGCATTGTCAGATTGCCTTGTTTTCTTAGCCCCATGCCTGGATTTGGAAGCTATCAAGTGCTCCTGCCACAAAGGTGCAGCAAACAAATGCAGATGTTTCCATTTTAACAAGAAGTCCTATAAAGAGCTTGTAACTATCCCTTGACTGTATGGGTTGATAAAATTGACAAGGATCTGCATGTTCAGGGCTTGTAAAAAATGCCTTGTCTGAGAATAGCTGTTAAGACTCTGTTATTTTGTTTTGTGCTTCAATGTCCCTTATGTCTCAGTGGGAAATAAGACCTGAAAATCATATCTATTCCATTTAACAACTGGAGTAGTAACACACATTGCAATTTGTGTCCAACCATTCCAAATTCATGACAAATGTATGATCGTTTCCAAGAGAAAAAATATACAGCTGCCTAAATGAGACTTCTTGCAGACTAAAAATACCTTGCCTTATGCATCTGCTTATTAGGTTTTTCTCATTTAAAACCGTTACCAGTCATACCTGACTAGGCAGGGGCACAGATTTCTACACGGTCTGATAATACCAGAGCTTTTCTGCGACAAATTGCAGCATGCTCCGTCCTGCGCCCCCCCGTGGCTTCACAACAAATTTTGTCTATTGTTTCTGTGCAAATCCTGTTACTGAAAAAGCTGGAGTCAATATATGCTTAAGTAGGCCCTTGACCTCAGGACTCTGCTTAATGTCAGCGCCATGAAAACAAAGCCAAACACTACCTTCAGCACTCTGGGAAGGAACCAGGAGAAGGTTTGGAGCCTGGCATGATTTATTTTGTCTGCTGCAGAGCCAAGCCACCCGCAGCCCTGTTTGGTCCATGGTACACAAAGTCATTGAGGGACAGGGCCTCCTAGACCTCTGGCTTGGCTGGACCGCCAGGACAGCTTGGTGTCTTTCAAAGCACCTCCTTTTAATGCCATGAGTTTGGTGACCTGGGAGGACTTGCACAGTCAAAGATGCCTGGTATCCAAGAGATCAGTCTGAGCTTTGTGTATAGCCTATACACTATTGGGTCTGGCTTTCACTTGTGTCAAGGTCTCTTTGCAACCTTCTGGCACTAGCGAGTGATTGTGAAAGTGAGTAGTGGAGATGTGTGGAGTACAAATGGGTTTGCTATTGTCGATCCTTGCATAGCCCATGTGTGATATGTAACACGGTATAATGTGTTTTGTGTCCCCTAGACTGACTTAAATGTATCACAGTGAAATAGTTCCTACTGTTTCTCCTGGATAAGTATGCATGTTATATGGCCTCTATCCTTCTCTTTTTCAAATAACTCATCAGGTCTCTGCTTACATGAAGGTACAATTTAGCAGGGGTTTGCAGAGTGATTAGGAATGTTGCTGATACAGGACTATTTGTTAGCTGTACACAAAGCATCAAAGCCCCTCAATTTATAGTGCTCTACCAGAGAGAAAAAAATCTAAATCCACAAATTTCCTGCATGAGTAACCTTACGTGAGAGAAACAGAGCCGTGATACTCCCTTACCTCTTAGTAAGTAATCATGTGAGCCTTCTTCAGCTCTCGTTTCACAAGTCTCCATTTCTAGGACAATTCTGAGTAGGTGGCACGGCTTATCAGGAGGTTTCTCTTTTTCTTTCTTTTTTTTTTCATTTTCTTCTTTTTCTTTTTCTTCCACTGAATTAGGCACATGGCAACACAGCTTTGCATATGGCAGCTGCGTTGCCTTGTGACAAGAACCAGAAAGAAATCATCCAGTTGCTCCTTGACCATGGGGCAGACCCAAGCATCCGAAACTTAGACAACGATCAGCCAATCCACATGGCTCCTTCTGGAAAAGCTGGGGATCAGGTACATGATCTGCATTGCTGCTGCTTCCTAACACATCTGTGCACACCACAGCTGTCTGTCCTTACCAGGGAAACAATGAGGACAAGACATATGACATGGGTCTGACGTTGCAGTGGTGTAGGCTTGGGGGTTCCTCACTTCAGTAAATCTGTAACCGAGGAGCACAAAGCAGGCATTAGCTGGTACTCCAAATATATCTGGGGAGGTATCAATATGTAGTTCTTTCATAATGACAGCAAATCTCAAGAAATGATCAAGTTTCATGCCTACGGGTATGAAAAGGCTCCTGGAGCTCATTGTAGTCTCTGGTATGTTTTTATGTGTATTTAGTTACACGTATACATGTATACAAGTGTGTGTATGTATGTATTGGGGTGTCTGCATGCACAGTTTCAGGTGCTACGTTATGAACTTCTACATTTTTTGGCAGGTTAGGCATTTGCTGAAGAAAGGGAAAGTTGCATCTGCATTCATTTCCTGTCACCGAAATGCCAGATCCTAGGTTGCCCGCAATTTCTGGAATGGCTTCAACTTCAGCTTGCTGATTGCACAAGGCCTCTTAGAAAAACTGTGAGGATGGTTAAGCCACACGTCCCTGCTCCTCGAGTCCTTAAACCAGGGTGGGATGCAGTGTTTCTCAACCTGTGGCCCATGTGTAGCATGTAAGATATCAGAAGATGAGCTTTCAAATGGTTGAAAACTTTCTTTTGCTAACAAAGAAAACTAATAAACCTCAAGCATTGCTTACAAGCAAGGAAGCCAGCAAAACAAATGGCTGTTGCATAAATAAGCAAATGTTTGAAGTACAGCCAACCTTTGATTTGGTGGCCACTGAAACCCATGGTGGTGACGGAACACAAGATGGTAGTTTGGTTATAAAAGGTTGAGAAATACTGCTCAAAGACTTGCTCGAACTGTGCCTCTTATTAGATCCTGTACAGAGGTACTGGTTGAAATGCTGAAACCTTTGTGATGCGCAGTTACCTTCATTGTGCCTGCTAGCCTGGGAATGCAGCAACCTGAGGGGAGGGAAAAGACTGGATGGAAGAGGTCAAGTCAGCCTGAGGAGTCATCCATGGCTGTATTTCATCCGAGTGAATGGACATCCGAACTCAAGAGGTCCAAGTGAGGGTTCCTGCAAGCTGCTGCTACCCCATTTCTTAGCACTTTGCGGAAGAAAGCTGAAGCAGCTGTCCATTACCACAGTCTCTCACCCCACCCCAAGAAAACAAAACAGATGCTTGTAAGAGCAAGTACATGGGGCAGGTTCTCAGCAGCACAGGTTCATGTGGCTCCTGAGTGCTTCCCAGTGAAGGGATTCCTCTTCGAGACATCTGATCCAATCCAAGTCTCCAGCTCTGATGGCAAAGAATAGCTCTGGAAGCACCTCAGAGTGGGGAGCTGAACCCTCACCTGAGCTAATGCCTGTGTAGGAGGCAGAGGCTTCCTTTGGGTCTTCAACAGCTTTTACGCATAGACAAGGTAGAAAACCTTTGAGCCGTGTAGGCCTGCACACAGCAGGGTCAGAGTGCAATGTGGTACATGCTCTCCTGTTCCCGTTCTTAATCTAAGGGGGCATTTTAATAGATTCTTCTTATTCTTTCTGTGAAATGATTTGTGAATTGCTGTGCAATCAGCTGGCAACAGTGTCTCTGCCAGGTCAATAGGATTGAAGGTAGATGCCTGAAGGGAGTGAAAGCCATGTTTTGACAACCCTTTCACAGAGGGTGTCTCATCTTAGTATACATTCTGAATTAGAGTTTGCTGATTTCTTAATGTTGCACAAGTTATTTTTTCTAACAGGACTGAACAATAAGATGAAGGGCAAATATCTTAAATAACCACAGTAACTTCCTTGATCACTCACTGACTAACTCAAATGGGATGGGGTTTTCTAAAGCACTTGTCAGCCTTGCAGACCTGGACTGTTTAAACAACTGTTTAGCAGACTTGAACAAAAGCTCTTAAGAAATGCAGAGATCTTCTCGACTTTCTCAGCCTTCCTCTCTGCTGTTTTGCTATTGCTTCTCACTACATCATATCTACAAACCTGTCAACATCTGCTGACAAAAAAGCAGACATGTATTTGCATGTGTTTGCATAAATTTGCATATATCTGGGCATAGGCCAGCAAAAGCATGTGCTTTCTTACTTTGAAGGGATGTTATAACAAGGCCTGAATTGAGTGATAACTGCATTGGTGAGTTAGTACGGTGTGTCAAGACAAAATGATCAATAAAATATCTGTTTCTTGAACTTGCTAGCAACAAAACTGTAAAACTGTGACCAACATGCGATGCATTAGGGAGAATGTAAAAAGTTTTTTGCCATCTAGAAATGTGTATGAGACGACAGAAGTTATTTTGCAGCAAGTGAAAAAAATACATGAGCTGTTTTCTGGAGTGGCTTATGTCTTTATTGTTTCATCTGCCTGCTGTTGGATGTTTAATACAGAGCAATGCCATCAGTGACTTGTCATCTGTAAACATCACCATCTCCAGAATATCAAGGAAAATATCGGTTTGGGAAGGGACGGCTGCAGCTTCATTCAAAGCATCACCCTGGCAACCTGTGTTACTCAGAGTTGATAGTTAAGATTTGGAGAGGGAAGAACCTGTGACCAATCCAGGAAGGATTCATTCTCTCTAGAGGTTCATCTGTGTTCAGCTTCCCAAAGCTCATCCATTAGAGGCCTGCTTTGAAGCCAGCCACAATCAACAAGCTGTTCATATTGTCTTGGACTGGATCCATGAGAGAGTTGGAGGCTGCTGCTTCCCCACGCATGTAAAGCACCTTCCCTTTTCCCTGTCAAGGCAGACAGTTCCTGGCCTGTGTATCAAGAAAATCCCTTTTAAGGCTCAAAGGTAGCCTGCGTGTTAAGTCTTCTGTTCTGGGGTGAATTTCATTGATTTAAGCAGTATCTTACTTCACAGTTAAGCCCTGAATTTTTTATGACTGTTTCAGGGGAAATGTACCTTTTATAACAGCAGTACTGGCAGTGTGTGATACCCCTTTATTTGCACAGTTTATCTCTTCCTACCTGTGGCTTTGGATAAGTTGCCAATAACAAAGTTTTGTTATCACCAAACAAATGTTCTGAAGTGGCACCATAGAAAAGTCGCCAGTCGGTTGCCAAGGAAAACTTTTTGATCAAATACTCTGTGCAACTGGTAAAGAACCTGAAAATAAGAACCTTTTATTTTCTCTATAACTGCAGGTTACTTCTGGAGTTATTCATGGCTTTTGTAAGAATGGGGTGATCCTCACTTTTGTGTAGACACATATTTATATAGGCTGGCAGAACTTCACCTGGCAGGGACTGATCAAATGCCAGCGTTTCAGTAGTGCTATGCCAGCTCTGTTGGAGATATGACCCAAGCTACTTTTCTTTAAGCACCCCGCCTTTTTTTGGGGGGGGAGGGGGATAAGGGGGGGAAAGAATGAGTTCCTCATAGCCAGAAAATGCACAATCAACCTTTGAATAGTCCCCTCTGTTGTTTTTTTTTCCTTTCTTGTGTCAACAGTCAGCAACCTTTTACTTGCACTGCAGATGTCACTTGGAGTTGGAGACATGGAGATGGGGAATGGTGTCTAAAACATGTTTCCTGTCCCTGGCATAGGGGATTGCAAAACAACTGGAGAAAGGGCAGCAGAGAAATCCGAAGAGGCTGCAAGGGATGGAGGACAGTGCTACTTACTTAATGGAAGCTGTTAGGGTCCAGAGACCCTGGTGCATAGAAACATTTTGCTGGAAATATCCTTGTCCCACCAGAGCAGCTGGTCCCATGCAGCATCAGACCAATAGCTGTTAAATATCTGCTATCTTTAAGAACACACTGCATGCTACCCTCTCAGGACCTCAGCCACCTGTGAGCCCTGGAAGCATGGAAGCTTAGTGGTAAGACCAGGCCAGCCCTTCAAGAGACAGCTTCCCCCACTAGAGGAGTGCTTTTTCTGCCTGGGTCAGGCAATATCTGAGCAGCAGGAATAAGAATGGGATGTAGGGTGGTTTGTAGTGCTCATACTCACACTGCCATTCCTAAGTGGTCATGCCTAAACAGCAGACATAGGTTCAATGATGGGCACAACCTCTCCACTGCACACCACAGTCTTTGTACAGAGCAGTCCTTTCTGGAAATGCATTGTTACCACTGATAGCTGTACACATCTCTGCCACAATATACTGACAAATGTGCACCCTGCTGATAACGTATTAGATTTAGATATCTGCCTGATGTGGAGGTGAGAGATATGTTGTTAGACTGTAACACTTGACTTCCTTGCTGGCACTGTTGTGTAGGCTGGGATACTATTAACCTTGCTGTAAGATGTGTTAATATGAGCACTCTCCTTGTTGAATGCTTAATTATCATTTTCACATGCTCTTTGCTTTTCTGTATGAGAACACCTCATATCAGCTCTGTTAAGCTCAGGCCAACGTTGCCAATCCATTGGGAGGATGTGGTCATCCCTTTTCCACTAGAAGTCTCAAATATCTTGCCTCAACCTTACCTTCTTGTGGCTCTTTCATGTTGGTGATAAGGGGCTTTGACATGTGGCTAAAGGTGTACCCACTCCTTAAGCAGCAGGCAGGAGTAGCCAGTACTAAGCAAGCTGTGGAGCCGGCTGGGGCAGTAGAAGTGTAACCCTCTAGTGTCCTGAGACAACACTCAGGGGCTGAAGCACCTGCCAGCACTACTAAAATGACACCTAATAAAGTGTCTCTGCACAGGGGTAATCATACCTTTAACTGCAGCAAAGATACAGCTGTTAACTCCTATTTATAAGCTTTCTGTGACCAAATGCATTTATCACTTAGGCCAACTCTGAGATTCATCAGGTAACAACAGGGGAGAGGGGAAGATATTATTTAAAGTTGTCAAAGGATTTTAAAGCAAGTTTTGGAAAAAAAGCTGCTACCTTATGTAAGGTAAAGGAACTGGATGTTGGAAAGGTACAATTATCTCTGTGTAATTTCCTTGTCTAGCATGGCAAAAATGAAATATCCTCTCCAGGGACCTGGACTGGACATGGAAAAGATGCCATTTTTAACTCGTATAGAACTTAAAGTGAAGAGAACCCTGGAAGCTGCATGGGAGGTAAAAGCTCTGTTTTCTGATGAAGGCAGGGATAGGAGGTTGAAATAACTGGCATTATATAAATATTTTTTGAAGTCTCATTAAAAAAAATGTAACTCTTAGTTCTTCATAGATTTCACAGGGTGAGGAATATTGGTTTGGTTTTTTGGTAGAACGAAGGAAACCTCCTTATTTGCCAGCCAGATATGTGTGTCTGTTGCATCCTCAGCCACATGGGTAATTTCAGCTCTGGGAGAGGAAAGCTTTTTGGTTAACTGTAGAAGTGTCTGGAGGAGAAGGTGAGCATATAGCTAGTATGTATTTGTCTTCACAGGTGTAGTTAGTGTTTTTCATTTATGTTGGATTTAATATGGAGAGGTGCTTCTTTCTTTCCAGTCTGGGTGCTCAGCTAAGAAACTGGTGGCTTGGCAGTCTGCCTCACCAAGTGCTATTAAAAGGAGGTAAGACACAGTCTTAGAAAGGTCTGGGTTTATGCAGGAAACAGGGAATCCTCACGTATGATAACTTTCCCATTATCTAATGAAAAAAAAAATCATTTAGGTCCTGTTCAGTTGATTATGCTGAAAGGTGCAGAAAACCTGACATCAACAGACCAAACTATACAAACGGCTGCCAAACTACATCAGCCTGTCACTGAAACACTGCCTTCACAGAGAAGCTGGTGTTGAGAAGTTTGGCACTGGATTCAACCTCTGTGCAGGCCTGAGGGGCATTCCTAGTACATGACCCATGGGCTAAACCCTGAGCCTGTATGGAAAACAGTGGTTTTCCTTTGGTGCAGGAACCACTAGAGAGTATCATCACAGCAGCCTGAGCAGAAGCAGTGGCTAAGAAGTTTCAGATCCATCTCAGAGCAGGGTGCTGCACAGCTTTCTCTGTGGATACTGTGTTGAGTGCTGAGATTCGTATAGATTTTTTATCTGCTGGAAGGGTTAAGTGAGACCTTTCATACTGCTGGGTAATTGCTTCTTGTGTAGGTTGCTGAGAGTCTCTCTTCCTTACCTTTGTGAGAACAGGGCCAGGATCCTGGATCATTAGCAGAAGGGAAAAGCACTGACATTTAGCACATGAATAATAAACAGGCTTCAGCATGCATACCAAATTATTTATTTGTATCAAAAAGAACTGGCTTAATGACATGTGTTTGGTAAGGCAGCTTGGGATTTCTTTTAAAAACAACAACAACAAAAAACAAACAGGAAAAAAAAAGCCACACCAAAAATCAAACCACCACCACAACAACAACAAAACACCCTTGACCATACAAGACAAGAGGAATAATGTAGTGACAGCATCATGTAGAAAATGTGTGAGTAGTGAAGAATAAACTGGACTGTGTGAGGCAGCACAACTTTGCATAGTTCATGGGCAATTAATCTGATTTGTATACAGTGGATGTGTAAAACCACAGTCCCCATTAGCTATAGCAGATGTCACAGTTCCTATCCCTTCTGAAGAAGTCATCTGCCATGGCCACAGGTGGTAGGTAGTCCATGCAGTCCGTGCTGGGGCAGGGGAAGTACTGCGGGACCCTGTTGTCCTCATGCTGGGAGCCACAGGCTGTGCAGCAGCAGGCTGAGGTGGTGTATGGGGAGGGGGTATGGCAGGACCACTCCTCCGCAGGGTAGCCATAGGTCTTGGTGTCCAGAGCAGACGGTGAGCTGTGGGTCAGCGGGGTGAAAGGAGATAGCTGAGGAGGAGAGCAGCTATAGTTTAATGGGCTGGGCAGATCAGCTGAACTGGGGGATCCGGCAGCCTAGAGTTTGAGAGGAAAAAAAAACCAACAGGATTTTTCAGGGTGTCATTTGGGGAAATGTGGACAGAAGCCAGAATTTCCATGCCATTGCCTTTCTCAGGAGGGTCTGGCTACCCAGGGAGATAGTCTGGCCCTTGGGGGCCTAAACCCAAGAGGCAGTTCCTGTGACATTAGTGTTAATAGGGAGCTTCTCTGCAAGTTAGACAACCAGTAGTGGGAACTGGGCTATTCTTTGCAGCAAATCTACAGGATCTGTAGAAGGGACATTCCCTATTCTGCAACCTCTTTCTAGGTTTGGCTGGGCCTCCCTGTCCTCTGCTCCCAGTGGGAAACCATGCAGAAGTCCACACAAGCAGCCTGCATGCTGCGGCTGTACCCTATACCCCTAAAAGCAGCCACATTTCCAAATCAGTTTGCTGCCATTCTGCCCCAGGATGTGACTCCCTTCCCCATCTTCCCTCTGATTGCACCTGTGGCTGGTCCCCTGGGACACAAAGCTTACCAGGCCCTGGTTAAAGCAGAAGGGGACTGGCTGGAAGGTGTCTGAAGTGTAGAGCGAGGATGGCTGGAAAGCACTGAAGGCTGGGTCTAATGGAACATCTGTCTGAAGACAGGAATCTACCAGCTGCTCCAAATAGCTAGGGCTTTCTTCACAGGAGAGGCAATTTGAGAACTGCCATGATGGACAATAGTTGGGAACAGAAGAGATGGGATCTAGGAGAAAAGGTAAACCAGACAGTAGCAGATTATTCAGTATCTGTCTTCACAAAGGGCAGATATTGGCCCAGGTCAGGTTTCAGTACTCTCATATGTTCAGTAGCCCTATGGATTTAGACAAGGAAAAAAGTCCTTCAAGCTCAGGGTGAATTTTCTAGGGAAGCAGACACCAGGAGGAAGATGCTCAAAAGCATGCAAATAACCTGGGGAACTTTAATCGCCTTGGAAAGCTCCAAAGCTCTTTAAATATGGCTGGAAACTCTTCTGGCTCCAGCCATTTTGGACAGGGATCTAGCTGGAAACCCCCTCAGACTCTTGACCCTCTGGCCTCCCTTCAAATGTCAACTGTTTACTTGATTTATGCTTCACAGCTTGGCAGATGGCTTGTGCCTTTGCCTCACCTAGTCTCCAGATGCAGGGTAGCTATATCTGCAGGAAGAAGGGGATAACAGAAGAATAATTTGCTCTTTAATCCTCCAAACAGTCAGACAGGAGACAAACTTCTGAACGGACAGAGCAAGTCAGCGAAAGCATGGCATTGCGCCCACGTAGTGTTACTGGCAAAAGTGTGAGTTCCTAGAAAGCTGTAGGGCCAGACTCTCACTGTACTGCAACATGCTTTCTGGGGGTATGAAAGCTCACAGCAGATCTGACTTTTCAGAATTATTATCTTTTCATGCTGTGTTCAAATATGGTTGAAAGCAAAGCCCTGGCCACATGGAGGAGCACAGGTCTGAAGACAGTGGAACTGCATGTGGGTAGAGAGTCACTCAGAGTCATAACTGTTTGCAGGTTCAAGGTGGCAGTGTTTAGCTGGATCTGGGGAGGAAGAGAAAAGCACCCAAATTACATAAACAGATGGAGACTTCTCAGCCTGAAAAAGCTCTGGTATGTCTCACGTTTCTGTATTAACATAAGCAAATTGATTCCCAAATATTGACAATTTAATAATTTCCTTGTCCATACAATGTATATATTCACACCTGCCCAACCTTTTAGGTCTCTCTGCTTTGGCTGCAGAATAATTGAAGGATCTGTGAGCCCAAAGTGCTATTACCCCAACCCCTTCCCCCTTTCCTTGGATATTCACATACAGGAGGAAGAAACTTTGGGTTGCTGAAAACCTGACACTCCTCTCACTCCTATGGATGCTGCCAGGAGAGTAAGAACACAACAAAGTGCTTCAGGGCAATCTGACCCTCGAGCTCCAATTGGACCCACAGACTGTAGCCTGGAGAAGGTGCTGCCAGCAGTGTTATCTCCTAGGGGATGAACATCCCTTCCTGAAGGGGATCTTGCTCCTTGCTGTGGAAAAAATAAACTGCACAAATAAGAGCATGTGAGCGTGCTCCTGAAAGGGGTAATATGTACCCTGCTGGCCTCACAGCATCCTCATCCACATTTCGTGGACTCCTTTCAAGTGCTGATTAGCTGCATTGCCCGTTATCTGGTAGTGCCTGCCTCAACCAAGGGCTGGAAAGACTCTGGGCTGTGGGAAAAATTGGGAAAGGGGTGGGAAGGGACATGCAGATGGGCTTTGTACCAACCTGGCTGAGGAGGAGATACAGACTCTGAAAACTGGATGCTGCTGCTGCCCCAAGAAACCTGACCAAAGAGAAGGAGAGGAAAGGAATTGTAGATACTGTAACACAGGGGAGTGTTTTTCTACATGCTGAGGTAAGCCAGGATTTCGCTTCAATCTATTTATGTAAACCTTATTTACCTCATGGCTGTGATGTGAAAAGTTCCCTAGCATTGACAGAACGAGATTAACGTGCAAAACATGATTTTTCCCTGAGCCTATAACGGCACTGGAGGAGCACACCACCAACCTGGTGTAAAGCCCTTGATACAGCACCTTGCTAGTGTGCTCTTCCTACTGCATTATTACGGTTAATTCAGCAGAGTTGTGACTGCTTTTGAAACTAATGTTTTAATTTCTAGGACCATGAATTCCACAGTGGAGGGATCCCAAAGAATTTGTAGGGATAATTATGATTGAGCATGAGTAATTAACAAATTGTAGCGATAACTCTTGAAACAGGACTAAAGACAATTGCAGGTATCCCGGTGGCTGGGCATCAGACTGGGTCGCTGTGCTTGGTGTTGATGTCACTTGAGAACCAGCTCTGACATTGCTCCCTGCTCTAACACAGCTACGTGCCTCTATGAAAATAGGCAGTCTCATTTTCTAAGGGATGTTGGAAGCTGAAGCGGACAGATCAATCTGTTCTAGGAACCTGACCTGCTGGAGGCGAGAAATCCAGCCCAAAAGCAATGGAAGTTTTGATGCTTGTTGTTTGGGACCAGGATTTTGCTCTGCAAATACAAATACTGGGTTTTTTTCCTCAGTTTTAATTCATACAGACTTCCACTTCCTTTATTCAAACTCGTCTCGGGCTGAAAGTGCCTGTAGGACTACCCCTCTTCTCTTTGGCTGCAGATGTGTAACAAGGCAGACAGAGCCATACCACTGGCAGCAGAAGTTTTCAGGTTCAGCTTTTTTCAGTGCACGGAGGCAGCTTATCCTGCCAGCCTAAACCTCTGGGGGCTCCCCAGGACAACATGTAACTTTTGCAGATCACAAAGGTAACCTCCTGCACTGCCACTTTTAACTTTTTCCTGTGTGGGCAAAAAAGCGCTGTGTAAACTCACTGTGGGAAGCGAAAACCAGTTCCACGCAGCCCTGTGATGCCTGGCTGTGATGAAGAGGCTGCTACCGTTAGAGCTGGAGGGGAGGAATGACCCAGCATTTCCAAAGCCCAGCAGTTCTGTGCACTCTTCACCCAGGCCTCTCTGCCTGTGGCTTGCAGGCTGATCAGCTTTTTGTGCAATCAGCTGCAACGAGGTACAGGAGGTGGGAGATGAAATCTGAAAACCATCCAAAGCTGTAATGTCGTGAACCAGGAAGAAGTAATGATTTACCAACCTCTTTATGCAAATCCCTAGAGTGGCTGCAGCTAGAGGACTCCTACAAAGACTGGAAGAGCAAGTGAGAGAGAGGGTGTACACGTGTGTGAGCACACACACAGATCTCCATCCCCTCCTTTAGAAGGGATGGGGCTAGGAGTACTGAAAAACGTTGGAGACCTGAATTCAGTCAGGCACACTTGAATATTATGCTAAGGAGCCCTAACGGAGCAGGAGGGAGCCCTGCTTAAGAGGTCTTTGCCCATGCCTTGTTTTCCACCTTTCTGCTAACCAAAATCTGGGGCTGTTGCTAAGTCCCAAATTCCCAAACTCTCTCCACTGCCTGGGAGCTGCTGGAGGCACTGTACCTCTCTGGTGCCTTCATTTCCTGCCTGGACAAGAGAAAGCCTCCAGGGGTAAGGGGTGGTTGAAAGCAGCTTCCTGGTGGGCTGAGACTTGTGGAAAAGGAGGGGGTTAGGGGAGCTTTAGTGTGGCAGAGCTTTGCACTGGTTGATCCTCAAAGCTGCACGGGTCAGGTTGAAGGCATGCCCTGGGCATATGCTTCACCTGATGCTGCAGAACAGTTTGGTCCGTGCTTCAGCCCGGCCAGGCCACATTTTAAATGGGGGGCAGGGACCATGGCCTGCCTTGCTCATCCAGCATAATGATACTGGAGTGATAACTGTAAGTGGAACTGAAATTTGTCCATGTGGACCTTCTATCCCAGAGTGAGTTGCATTTCTGAAGCACCAGCTCTGTTTTCTCCCTGCACTAATGGCTCAGATCCATCACTTGTGTAGATCACTGCTACAGTTACCCTGGCTGAAGGTTCTTCTCCCCCATCCTGACTAGCCTGTGACACTCAGACTTTGGCAGTCTCCTTGGCCCAGAGATTACAGCCTTGGCGAAAAAGATTAAGAGAGAAGAGATGAAGCAGACACCAAAAGATTTTTACTTACCGCTGCACCGGTTGCTGCTTGTTGTGCTCTTCTCTGCTGCAGTAACTCCTTAACTGTAATCTTTACCCTAACACCTTGATACACCTTGGGCTTTCCTGAAAGAATTTGTGGAAAAACACTTTACAAGATGGGAGACTTTCAGAGCATACGGCAAATCCAGCGTGTTTTCAGACATGCTCTATGAGGAGTCGACTTAGAGTTAACGTGATTAACTGGTCACCATTAAGTCACTTGTAATCACAGTTTATAGCCCTCTTTAATACCTGCTGTTCAAGCTGTGACAAGCAGACATTTATGAAAAAGTTGGTGTTGATTATATTTAGCAGTCATACATGTTTTATTCTTTTCTATCTCCTTCTTCCTGCCCCACCCCCCCCACACACCAGGTGTCCTAATACCAAGCTCCATCTGGTGCTACTGTTGAATTTATTGAAATTCCTATCATATTTGCCACTCTTAGGACCTGAAAATAAATGTGGGAAGCGCTTCATCTGGCAGATGAAGACCAGGAATAAAGCAATGAAAATATGTGGGCAGTTATTCAGAGCGCTAAACAAAACACAAATAAAATGACTGTTTTCATGAATCACTTCTTGCAAAGCCTAGATGATCTCTTTATTTTGCTCATTTTGTACAACTCCCATTTATTTCAAAGAAGCATTTAGAATGTCTTTAATCCAGCCAAAACCAATCAGCAATCATCAGTCACTACCTGATGAGGGATTTTTAGTACAGGAAATGGTAAAGAACTACCTAGCCTGAAAAACCACTTTTACTTGCTGTACTCATGGTAAAATACCTAAAGCCTCTGGCAGTTCTGTTTCTGTCCTAGCTTTCTGCTGTTATTTTCATCTAGTAGCAGATCCTATGAACACTATTGTCATCTCATCCCGCAGTGGAGGCAGCTGGTTGCAGGTTCCCTGCCCGCATACCCAAGAAATCCTACACTGTAGGCACTGTCCTCTTCTGCTATAACCTCTTCCCCATTGCTGATGGCTGTACAGCATCTTCACCCTCCTGTCTGCCCACCTGCCATCCTGCTGCCCCCTTGGTGCTCTGGTTGAGGACATGCTGTAACAGGCATACAGGTCCCTCCACAAAGGTGGCAGGCTGAGCCGGGTCTGCCTCGAGGGGAGTTTGCTGAGCTGTGCTCTCAGCAGCTGGGGATTATTCATCTCATATTTTTATGTTTTGTTTCTGTTCAACAAATTGAAGGTGGGGAAAATGAGGGGAGGAAAGGGTTGAATTTAATGAGAACACCCTGTTACCTGGCCTCCCTATAGACAGGAAGGGCCCTGAGCTAGCAGCCCCTTCTGCAGGTTTGGGTTCATGCTGCGTACAGCCTCTTAGCTCTGGTCTGCGCAGGTAGCTGGACGGGGCTAGGGGCTACACTACAAGCAACTTACTTAAACTAGCAGGTGAGGTATGGACACATCTATAACCCAGGGGCTGGCTGTCAGGCAGCCCCCACCCCCAGCTCCCGTGGCAGAGCATTGTGCCCCAAGGATCCTGCTTTTCTAGCACCCCGAGGCCCCAACGTGGTCTGCGTGCAGCTGAAGCGTTGAGAGCAGGTCTACCATGGCCAGCTCTCCCGAACTGGCCAGGCTGTGGATGGAAGAGGCAGGGTGATGAAGCTGGGGCTGGGGGTCAAGGAGCTGGGTGGTGAGGGCGGGCTGGGGGTCAGGCAACGGGGCGGTCAGGGCAGGCTGGCGATCGGGAGCAGGGTGGTGACAAGGGCAGGCTGGGGGTCAGGGCGGACTAGGGGTCGGGGAGCAGGGCGCTCAGGGCGGGCGGGGGGGTCAAGAGCAGTGCGGCGAGGGCAGACCGTGTGGGGAGGGCACAAAGAGGAGGGGGGCAAGGGTGCGGGGGCCGCGTCTCCCACCCCGCCGCAGGGGCTCGGGAAGGCAGCGCTTCCCCGCCGGGAGCCACGGGGACGGTCGCCGGAGGGCGAGCGGCTCCGGGCCGGCCCGGGGCCGG